GGGAGCGGGGCGTAGTTTGTTTTTCCTGTATCCAACTTTGAAGTGCCTTCCGCGTTACCCAAGAACAAGTAAGTTCGGTCTGTGACAGAAATCTCTTTTGTATAAAACAAAACGATGCTTGGGGAGGATTAAGTGGCAGAAAAGAGGTCCCATGTAGACTTGGGGAAGGAAACAAGTGGGACGAGGGCTGTTTCCCATAAGCAAAGGACCCTCGGTCCTCCCACCCAAGTGACAATCACATTCACACTGGACGTGTTTTGTATTTTTTAATAAAGTTTGTAATCCAATGGACACACAAAACAAAACTGCGCTGAGAAAACCAGTTTCATAAATTAATAAGTGTTAGGAAGTTGGGGGGAGAGGTCAAGGTAACAGGAAGAGGGGAAGCCAGTCTTTTTTGTACAGTCTTTTTGTGTGTGTGACACTTCAAATCGCGGGGGCCGGGCCCGTGCCGTAACGAAGCGCACTTATACAAATGAGTGACAATACAAAGTCTGAGTATGAAAATAAGATTTTCTCTGAAAACACATTTTTGGCACAGATTAAAAAAAATGTATGTCAGGGGAATTTGATTTTTTTTAAGTCAGTATTATATATATTTATATATATTATATATTTATATATACACACATCCCAAGTTCTGCATATCCCACCAAGAAAGAAAATCCTTCTGTTTGCTCTTTGATTGTAAACTGTACATCCGGGTGAATCACAGATGGTGGCAGCAGGAGAATTAAGAAAGGTGACACATCCAAATGAGCAAGGGGAAGGGCGGGGTGGGGACCAAACAACCCAATGAAATGTTCCTTGACCCCGGCGTTTCAGCAGAAGCCTGAAGTCCTGCGTTAGAGTCCTCGATGCGTGTTCAGGTACACCCAGACATCCAGAGTGTCACAGCCCGTCTTCACTGTGCAAAAGTCCAAGTCACTAATTTAGTGCAAAGGCAGTTCTGTTTTGTTTCTTAAAAACAAAAACAACAAAAAATTAATTCCACTGCCCAGTTCCTTTTCTCCAAGAGGAGGAGGGAAACCCAGCCCCAAGGTGCCTGCAGAGTCCATCGGTTGGTGGTCTGTCCTTGGGCTAAATGTCATGTAAACATACAAGTAGCAGCACCACTGCCCAGAGGGGTCTGTCCGACTGAGCCGGGTGGGCGGGCTCGAGGGCGAGGCTGGCATCTGGCAGTGGAGTACGTCCCCTGCGGCAGCTTCTTCCTCCACTTGACTGGGTTGTCCCGTGTTTACTTTTTTGCTGCAGAGCCTCGGGGAAACACACCGAGCGGTGGCTGTTCAGTGGCTCACACAGAGGCAATCACAATCATGAGGTGGGGAGAGATATTGGAGATGCTGGCGAGGAGGTCAGGGGCCAGACGGGACAGGTGGCTCTCCGAGAACTCACAGGGCGGGAAGATCTGTAGCACATAGGCGGGCTGGAGAAGAGGACGAGAGAGGGAGTAAAGTGGGATCCCCCGCCTCCGCGTCGGTCACCCCACTACCGCTCTTCCAACCACTCCTGACTGGGGGCCCTGATGGGGCCCAACACAGAGCTGGGGGGGAGTCCTGTTTCCCGGGGAACTAACCTCTCCGTGACTTTGTCCAGCAGATGAAACCTACAAGGTGTCAGAAAAACTAACACGAACTAAACTATCCTCCTGGGAACCTCTTCCACAGCATTAGGCTAAGAACCTCCGCCGTCTCAGCTGTTCTTGGGTTGTCTCCAGGAGGGGCAAGGATGGCCCCTCGTCTACACTCTGCCTGCCTGTTGCCTCTTTCCAGATTGCCCCGTGCCCGCCTCCGGACGATTCTGGTCGGCACGGGTAACCAAGCCACCAGCTTAGATCGGCCCCACACACGTGTGCCCCGAGCAAGGACACCAGGCTGACCTGATTGGAGCCGGGGTTGGGAACGTTGATGATCCCTGCCGCCTGCTTGGCCTGCAGATAGGTGATGAAGGCCGCCTTGAGGGACTCAGTTTGGCTCACGACATCCTCTTGGTCACGGCCACAGGGCAGAGCCAGCAGCAGACAGTAATCTGTCTCCACCTGTGGCAGAAGCGTAGCCGTCAGTGACCAGGGGCCTCCCCCAGAAGACAGCAGCCCAGGCAGAGGCTTGTCCAACCCAGGGGTTCAGCTCCTGCATCCACAAAAGGCCCCCTTTCTGAGGTGACCTTCAAGTCTACCCTATTTTTTGACTGAAAAAAAAAAAA